AGAGAGAGAGAGAGAGAGAGAGAGAGAGAGAGAGAGAGAGAGAGAGAGACAAAAATGGAAAGAGCCAAAGCCAGAGCTAGAGATAGAAAGAGTGTGTGTGCTGCGTGTGTTTGTCTGTCTACAATATGATGCATCCGAATCCTTTCATTTTGTGTATGCGCCACTTGACAGTGTTCGACATCTGTAAATCTAATACCACCAACAATATTACACACTCGGATCACTCCCAAGGGGCTTTACTGGCGTTTGCTGTGTGCATAATATAATTTCGGCTTGTATAAATTGTAGTCGACGACGAATCCGTCGCCAACAAAATATATCAATAATGTATTCAATGAAATTTGCTCCATCCTTCTCTCCTTAACTCCCGATTTATTGCATCGGTTGTGTAACCCGCCAGATCAGTACAGTCGATGCAAGCTAGTCATGGCATAATTTCCAAATGACAATGCATGAGTTCAAGGCAATGCACAGTTATTCATTTGAAAGTTTTGCCAATTCAATTAAGCCCAAAATACTTCGGTATTTTCCGGTCCAATATTACGTTAAATTTCAATAAACTAACGAGCTCATCGATTTGCAATCAACTTGGTGAAATAAATTCGACTCCATTTCTATTCAGGTCACATTTTGGGCTGCGGCGCTTAAATTGAATCATTTATTTTCCGAAGCAGGAACTGAAGCTCCGACTATTTTTGACCCACCAGTGATCAATACGAAATCGCGACACAAGTTCTCGGCAACCCAACGATGCCTGAAACTCTTCACTTTTGTAGAGTAGAAAGCCGAAGAAAAAAAAACCGCTTGGGTTAGTTTTATGCAGCGACTTTGATTTATTGAGTGTTTGATTAACATAATGACTGGTCATTGCTCTTCTTGAAAATGGTTCAGTACACAACGAGCTGTAAAATGTTTTCTTTTTCTTCGATAAAATGTGTGAATGGTGAGTGGTTGAGTACGTATTGTGATTGCTTTGTCTCAAAATACTGTTTCGAGTGAATCACATATTCATTGCAATTTAATGCCGTTCCTATAGTATATAATGGTGAATTTCCCTTTCCTTTGTTCGACCGTTGTGTCAGCTGATTGGATACAGTCAGTGCGAATGGAGCACTCACGGCAAATGAAGGATCCACATCAGAATGCTCGTTACGTTAAGCCGATCATTTCATACTTGAAACTATATCAACATTTATCTTTATCATAAGAGGAGTCTTAGTCGATTTGTGTCTCTCTGTCTGTGTGTATGTTGGCATCATTGCGGTTTTATTCTTGAACAAGGGATTTTCAAGTCAAATCATTTTGTCATTCTGATATTCAGCAGACCGAACCATTTGCGATTTTTATTTGCATAACATTTGAATAAGGAACTGTGAGATGGGGAAAAATTCCCATTTACATTTAGACTATGTAAGGGAAAATGTTTGACTTTGTGACAACAGCAAAAAAAAAAATAAAAAAAAATAAACTTTTTCTCGTCTCCATCGTCTTTGTGTTTCCAATTAAAAAAAGAACATCGTCAAAAGAAGCGTCAGGGATAAAATGAACACCTCTTTAATTTCAAAATGAATTTTGATTAGGTAATTTAAGTTTTCAAAACATCTAATTTGTTTGTTTTTCCCATTTCAGAGCACTGAGCGAATGGATATTGGAATTTAGAAGAAAAAAACACCAACGGAGTGAGAGCGAGTGACAACGTGGTCGTGATTTGATTTTATCGAGGGTAAAAAGCTCGCACAAACACACACACACACACTATCACCGAATTGTGTCCAATCTCACCCAACATTCATAGTACATATTGTTTTTTTGTAACTATATCCACATTGCGTGTGTTGCTGAGTTCATCTGACTATTGATGCTGCAAATATTGCACGTGATTGTAGATTTTGTCGCAACAAATAACACAACAATATTCACCACATTTTTGAAGAGAAGTGACTTAAATATACGTAGAGAACAGAACAGAAAAAAAATACACATAAAGAGAGAGAGAGAGACCGAAACAAACTTCACATACAAGAAAAAAATAAACTTGATGAAGAGCAGTTTTTATTGTAAATTAAAGTAGTGTGAGAGACGACGACAGACAGACATTCGATTTTTGTTTATACAACTGAAAGCTGATTCGCAAAAACAATAAACCGACCGAGCAACAAACAAACAAACCAACCAAATTAAATGCAGAGAGACGCAACGTAAAGAATTTTGTGCAGTTGGACAATTGAAATACAAAAACAGAAGAAAAAAAAAACAATCAAATAAAATAAAAGAAGATAAAAAGAGAATATTTATATACACACACTGAGAGAGAGAGAGAAAAAGAGACAGTGTGCACGGATTATAAGGACACTTGAAACAATAATATACACAGAGTAGAAGACACACACACAGAAGAAAAAAACAAACTGAAGAGCGGCTGAGTGTTTTACAACGCATAAAACACAAAGCAATAATGTTCGGTTTGAAAATTCGCTCTTGGATGGAAAATCATATAGTTCGGCCACGCAAAAAAGGGAATAAGAATAAAAATGGAAACAGGTACGACACACAAGAAAACAACAACAATTTATCTACCTTTCGTTTCGGTTATTTATGTTTTTTTTTTCTTCTTTGCTTTCGTTTTGTTGGCAGAAGTGACAGATCGCTATGGTTGTGAATCGTTATGCGATTTGCAGCTCATCGCCTCGCATTTTGTTTTTTTTTTTTGGTTTACGATTTAACCGCGTGTGCATGGCGAATGAATGCGGGACAATGAAGTCATAAAGTTGTGTATTTGATTTGCGTTCCGTTGCGTTGAATGGCTTTTGGAATTGGTTTAGATGCGAAATTTATTGATGGCATTGGCTTCTTTTCACATACATACCACTTATTGCATTTGCATGGGTGACTCTTTTAATAATTCATTGTCGACCGAATATCAAAAAGATTAAACGATCATAAAAATGCCGTAATTCAATTTACGTGACTATTCACTGAACGAGCAAGTGAGCGAGCAAGCGCATTCAGTCCATTGAATGAATGTAGTTGGAATTTTTTATGTGTGTGTGCGGTGCAATGCGAACGGGACTTTTTCTTTAGCTCACTGGCATTTTTTTTTATAGAGTGTACGCGATTCGAACGGATAATCAAGCGAAGACAAGAAAAGAGCTCAATAATCGCCAATTGTCGCGTAAACGCATCTATCAACACGCACTGATATCTACACATGTCACGCACAGGCATACATTGCCACACAGATTTGAATGATGCATTCAAAGCCAGTCGGTTTGTCATCGTCGTCGAATCACAATTGAATTTACGCGCACCCGTTTTGTTCGCCTGTCGCTTTAATTTAATTTTACGACCATTTTATTTGATACGCACTCGTGTGAATACTAACCAATATTTAGATATAGAGATTGTTTTTTTTTTCGTTCGTTCGTTCGTCTTCCATACGTTCGATTGGTAAGAAATGGAATTTACGGCTTAACTCGACACTTTTTAAATGCAGCGTATGTACAACGGAAGAGACGGATGGAAAAAAAAAGTTTGAGAATTAAATGCCACTGAAAATTAATTGAATCAACGTTTCATTTAAAACTAGACGCTCTTTTTTCATCGTCATTTCGCGGTTCGGCTTGTAGATTATCATGGCATGATGAAAATTAAGTGTGGCGGCTCTTGAAAAATCTTCAACGATTCAGTCATGAGCTGCAATGATACGATTACGTGAAAAACTGTACAAACACAAGAAAATGGATTATTCAGGTAAATCCATGAATGGGCTCATTTCATTTTCGTTCGCTGCTTTTTTTGCTAATGTAACGGAACAGAACAACGAAAAGAAAACCACTATTGGCGAGCGACTGGGGGGTGGATAAAAATGCGAAGGCTCAAAGGTGAATAGAGCGTGTCTGATATTCAAATTTAGCACATGAAGAAAGGGCGTGAAGAACCAAAAATAGAGTGTTTGGCAAGCATAAAATCCTGGCCATATATACACCATTTTTCGTTCGTCTTCCCAATATTTACGCTAATCAACTTAAAATCAACGGCTGCTTTCACCGAGTTACGGCACTTTGTCTTCTCCTTGTTCACCAGCTCTCTTTTTTCCCCGTTCATACCATCACCATCACCGTCATCATCATTATTCTTCAACTGAAAAGAGAAAATGTAGTCGAACGACAAAAGAGATAGAGAGCGAAGATGTTTTATGAATGAAATGAGAATAGCGACGAATTGCATCGTTTCGGTAAAAAGCATAAGGAAGAAAATGTTCAGAATAAATCAGACAGATTTCCTTCATAATAATCGAATAGCAAACGAATGGTAGGTACGTGTGAAAGTGGGAAAAAAATGAAATTCAAGTTTGTTTTTTCTTTTTCTGCTTTTCCAGTTTAAGTCATTTTTTTTGCCGAATCACATCGTCGCAACATAAGATATATCTAACTCGCTCCATTTATTCAGTTACTTAGAAGATTGTTCTGTACAAACAAAAGCACATACACAACTGTTGGAAGATGATATTTTCATCCAACGACAACGACGACGAAAAAGAAAAGAAGTAGAGAGAGGAAAGAGAACGCGCGCTCGGCCAGACTCGTTCAACACATCATATTTCGTAATTTGCACATCGTGTGCGTTGTGCGTTGTGCTCTGTCTCTCGCAAACCTCGAGATTTTATCTCGCACCGAAAACCATTCAATAATATGGAATATAGGAGTTGCGTGAGATGCTCTTTTGTTGTTTATCATCGACGTTGGTTATGATGGGGGTCATATCAAAATTATGATGCTGCTGCTGTGTATTCCGTACCATCGTTATTGCGATGGAATGCCATTTGCTTTTTGTCCATTGGTAATTGCTTGTGTGCAATGCACACGCAATGAACATTTTGACGGGTCCGAAATGAAAGAATCGAATCGAACAATACAAGCAACAGCTTCAGAGGGGTTGGTTTTTCTCCCTCTCACGTTCTTTCACTTTCCCTCCTTCTACCTCGGTGGTTGGAAGCCAAAAAAAAAACAACTTTCATCTTCTTCTATTTACGTTCATCTTTATCATCGGTAGAAATGTCTCTGCTGATCCATTTGGACGACGACGACGACGCATTTCATCGTCGCACCAACATCATGCTTGAGATAATTACGCACCATGCTCACGTAATCATAATACAAGTAAATGTTTTGATTAAATTTTTCGGCGTCCAAACAAAATGCTCGGTTTGTTGTGGATTTGTGTATTGGTCCCTTTTATTCTCCTCGATATCGTACGTATGTATCGATGCTACACAACAGCAACAACAACAATATTCACGACGCGTTTGCACTTCGCAATTGTGCTCGTATTTTTCAGTTTGTTTGTGAAAACATTATGTAATTGCTGGTTATCACCGTTGTACCAATTCATTTCGCACCATACACATAAACACACACACTCACACTCACTCACTCATTTATTACCCAGTCCGAGCAGTGCATGCACATCGCACCACTGAATGAATACATCGCATTGGACACATACACCCAATTTCCATGGAATGTGCACATTCCGTTGGGATAATTGTATTGCTCGTGCAGTCGGTACTTAGAACGTTAAGCTCGATATTCCATTCAACTCGGCTAGCAGTGATGGTGACTGTTGTGTGTGTGTGTGTTGGGTGTTTACGCGCACAACCGAACAGATTGCAGTTGTTCACCATATTGCACGAGAAAAAAAAAACAAGAACGAGAAACACACGCACACTCACACAAAGTAATCCATATTTTGCCACCCATTATCACAACGTACAACTTCTCCGAGAATAGATACTAAACATACACAATTACACTTGATTAATGCAGAGCTATATCCAAAACAATGGGGAGAAAAAGCAACCGACAATCAATGCTAGCATTGCAGCTGCAATCCCAGACAAATGAGAGCGTGAAAGAGGAAAAAAAAGAAGAAGAAAAAATGGAAAAATTGAGATGAGCAACAGCGTTGAAGACGTGATGATGAATTTGGTCGGGGAAGGGAAATCAATCGCTGACTGAGGGAATTCAATTGAACCGTTTCTGCAATTGGAAATGATACTGTTTAGAGCAACAATAACAAAAAAAAACTCCTAGATATGAAGGGAACCAGTATACAATGTGATAAAAACAAAATGTGACCCACGAAACTTTGATTTAAAGTTTTTTCTCCCACTTGCAACCTGAACAAAAATTATCATAAAACTCACATAAAAAGGTGAATGAAATTCGTTGGTGGAAAAAAATGGACATGCGGTAGAACGAAAAAATCAGACAACGAGAGAGTTGAAAAGTTCGACAAAGTTGTAATCTTTGTATGTCTACTTTTTCACTTTGTAAAACCATTTTGAAGTAGTAATTTCTCTTTCTCTCTCTCTCTCTCTCGCCCATTTATTCGTCTACTTTCATTTTTAAATCGCACTCTTTTATGATTCCACCACCTTTTTTTTTCTATCATACTTCCAGCTGAAGAAAACTTTATCATAGCATATCAGTAAATAAACATTTATCAAAGGTCACGTTCATTCTTATCGCATTGAAAAATCAGAAACGCCTAAATGTTGGTGAACCATATAGCCGTTTGCCGTTGGGTTGAAAGCAATCAAAATTATTATTACAATCTATTAATAAACTAAACCCGATAAGCGTTCATTGACTTTTCGAGAATTGTCCGAAACAATAATACAGCGGCGTTTTTCTATTTATACTTGAGTCAAGTACACGCGACACATTTCCAACTGATCCCATGGCAATGTTGATGCCGCATTTTCAGTTAAACTATTTATTAGCCATTTCATGGAACGGTTAGTGTTTGGGTACCGGACAAGTTTTTGTCGATCTCATTTAAGTGTCATTTTTTGTTTGTTTCTTATGTCTATCCTTGGCGTCCGTTAGAAAGTAATAACAAACGGTCCAAATGAAAATGACGACAACGCAAAAGACGAACGCGTAAAGATGATTGTCGATAGAGACAAGATTGAGCCAGCGTTAACCATTTTTGCGCCGGAAACGATTTCAGTTTTATTTTTATTTCACACAGTTTTATGTGCCATTGCCCATTTTCATTTGGCTCGAGAAAAAAGCCAGCCGATTTCAGTTTAACAAAGTATATCGCATGGCATAATGTGTGTGTGTGTGTGTTCACTAAACACTTGCATCATCTTAACCGTGTGGCCAGCTTGTGAACGACTCTCAAAGGCCAAATGCTAGAGAAATCGAGGTATGGCGGTGAACGTACGTCGCAGTCATGTATGCTGTTTGTGGCCATGGTTGTCTTGGGCTGACAGTCACTATCGTCTGTCATAGATTGTGCGAATCAAGATCGAGCTGCTGTTGGTGTTGTGCGAAGAAGTGACGGTGGTGGTGACGACGATGGTGGCTATGCTGCTTTCTCGCGCGTATCTTTTTGTAAAAATGAATGATGAACTCCCAACGGAATAATCATATAATAAATAAAATATGTCGTAACCATTGCCGCACTACTTCTCTATGCTCTCTCGATGGGCAATCGCTTTTCCTTAACCTCCCCGACTTAGATATCCTAGACCGTTGCGTATGTGATAACTGGCCGATTTCAAAATTATTTGTCTTCATCGCAATCAGTGTCCATTTTTCATGCGCTTGGAAAAACGGACGATGAGACAGCAGGCAAACACATTCGATTGTTTTTTTTTTCTCTCGTACAGCGCACACCATTCGATCGGCAACCGGAGGAAAACACGAAAAACAGCTGAGAATGTGGATTTACTTAAGAGATAAAAGTGAACCATAAGATAAAAATAAAAATAAAATGACGGAATAGAAGAGCGCGCCGCATAATAAGAAGTGAAAAAAAGAGATAATAAATGTGCGGCAAAAAAGATCCCAGCATAAGCTTCGCATACGCATACGCATATCCACATCCACCATACATTCATTCATTCAAAGCGGCAGCATATTTTGCGCCCCTGTTTGATTATTATCATTTTGAGTCATTTAGTATTGCCTTTTTTTTTATTTCTGACTGCTACTGCTGCTTTCACTCTGTCCGCTTTGCGTCGTGATGCCGTCGCATTGCTACTCCAAAATGAAATCACGAAAATAAAAACAAAAGAACGAAACGAGCGATGAAAAACAAGTCGAAGGAGCAAATGCATAAGCAAAGTATTCGATGGATTGGATCATTTTGTAGTTTTACGCGTTGTCGCTTCCAAAATTGAAGACTCGTCTATGATAATATGTATTTCGATGCAATATTGGAGTAGTGTTCGGTTGTTACCCATCCAAACAATTACAGTGTTGAATTATTTATTTGTTTATTCATCCGTTCATCTATTGTTTGCACCCACCACCAACACCAAAACCAACAAAAAAAACTATGCCACCACTCAATTCAATCCAATACACAATATGAATGCAGAAAGAATTCGTCCAAACAACCGACTGCTGGCACGAAAATAAAAACTTAAAATATTTTCCGAATAATAAAATAATCTATTTTGTATTTTTGCTCTCTTTCTCTCTCATTGTCTTTCTGTCTCGTTGTACATTGACAATTCCACTGGCGCCGGGCGTGTTATAATGGAAATGCACCACTGTTATTTTGGACTCGCCGTGTTTGTGTGTGTGGATGTTTTTTTATCGGCGTATTCTTTCGGTTCGGATGTAGCAGTGGCAATTTCGTAACAAGCATCAACAATACACAAAATGGACATAAAGGGATATCATCAAATCAAGGAGATTCTAGTGTTGTTGGCAGTCCAGCGCGTCGTAGTGAAGTGTCACCCATACAGAATCATGTAAGTACACATACCCTTTATCATCTAATCAATTTTATTTCACTCTTGAACAACAAAACAACAACAGCAGAGAGTGAAAAAAAAACACTTTTTTCGGTTACTTCCATTCTTTTCCTCTGTGTAAAACCATTAATTTTTTTTTCACTCTCCCGTTTTGGTGTTAGCTTTTGTGCACTTTACTAACTGCATAAAAGTGGGGTTGACTCTCTGCAGAGAATCGTGCTGCGAATCATTGTATTCTTTGGAGACAACTTTCTATATTTATATGTATGATTCGGGATGAAAAAAAAGACCATTCCTGCATTGCGTGCATTCTTTACTTCCCATTCGAAAAACACACAACACGTTTCGGGTTTTCTTCTTTGGAGCTGTGTTATCAGAACCCGTTTCCTCGGAAATATTTTCACATAAACCATACGTCGTACTTCATCCGTACGTCAATCTGTCAAGGAAATTTTTATTCAATTTCATCTTCCAGTTCCGCAAAAAACATTTTACGCATTTTTTTTCTTCTTCTTCATCATCTTCCTTCCGTGGAGAATCCTTGTTGCGAAAAATGGCAACGGGAAGAAATTCAATTTTGTCGGAATATTTAAGAAGAGAAATATTTCGCGATTTTTTTTTTTTTGGGAAAATATGTTTTTTTTTGATGGCACAGCCATCGGGCAGGAAAACGTATATTCCACGAATAATTTGGCAGTCAATTAAATGTGATTAAATTATAAAAGAACGTATGTATGTGTGTATAGGTTTGTGTAACCGCAACGCAACAGCAATCGACTTGATAATCATTTTCGAAGATAATTTAAAACGCATGAAATGTGTTGCCTTGAGGAGGTGGTGCGATCGTTGAACATGTTTTTGCACTTGTGCGAACCACTAAATGATTTACAGACAACAGTATATAATTTTATTGATTTTGAAGTGGTGGATAGAATAGAGCATCGCATCGCTTCGCATCGAATGCGTAGTGTTTTTGAAATGCTTGTGCAATTTGTTCTGGTTCGGAGAAGCTGCTGTTGTGAATATCAAAAGCGGCTGTTTAAAATGAGTGCAGGAGAGAAGCAGAGGGTGTTGGGAATGTTATGGAACAAAATTTAATGCGACAGCCAAGCCATATTGAATGAATCGGATCTCGTTTCGCAAATAGGCCGGGGCTTTTTTTTTCTTCTTCTGAAGTATACATCTTACATAAACATAAACTCACTTATGAATGAGTGTACCATTGAATTGAATTCTCTATAGATGATATTCGAAGCCGGTTGAAAAGTCAAGAACATCTATATCGAATTGAAAAGGCAGCTAAACCAGTAGAGGCAAAGACGAATGGCAGCATCAATAATAACAACTGCTTCGTGCAGCCGGAGAAAAAGAAAAATTCATGTTTACATTGTGCATTGGAGACGAGAACAATATCGAGTTTGATATGTTGTTTCATTCGTTTTCTTTTCCTATCTGTCTCTCTTGGCTCAATTTGGATCTGGGGAAATACGACAGCATCCGTTCATCGTAATGAGAAATATAGCATTGTCGATGGGATGCATGCCCACGAATAGAGCGCTAAACATGCACGATGTGTCGAACGTAACAAAGTGGAGCGCCAGCCAGTTGGCAAACGATAGGGAAGATGAATCTAAAATTGAAAATCGCAAAAATTGGCTTGATGCTGGGCTCTTTTCTCTCCCTCATGCTCTCTCTCTCGCTCGCTCGATCTATAACCAAATTCGTCGATAGATACTATCACATATATAACTGGAATATAAGTGCTGATTTTAGAGCATGTAAACATGGGAAGCGACCGAGTCGGCGGAGCAAGAAAGTGAACAACAACAACGGTAAAAATAAAACGAGGCAAATAGAAGATAGAAAATGGCTTGAATTGCAATATTATTGAATTTTTGAGCAGCTCAAGAGCTTTGCTCTTTCACTCCGTCCCTCTCTTCATGCAAGCCTCACACAGGACGTATCGACGATAGGCGGAAAATGTAACCAATTCACGTACATATTGCAAGCATCGTTTGCAAGCATTACAGTATGTATCGAGATTTGTATCGGGCGCACAACATACCATTGTTGCCATTTATTCGTCTCTTTTTCAATCTCTCTTTATTCCTCTAACTCTCTCTACCTCTCATGTCTTGCTGCTGTTGGAGTTCATGGCCAAACGCAAAGAAACGAAGAAAAAATAAATAATTGATAATATTTTTTTGCCATTTCTTCTCTTTTTTCTCTCTCTCGTTTGGATCATTTTATTAAAATCAACAACAGCGATAACATTCGATAACTGGGCAAATTTATTTGCGAACATGTGCATAACCATTTCGATGGAGATTTTTCTGTGTCGCGCATATAAAATGAAGTTGATCCCATTGAAAGATGAGATTACTGCATTAAAGCAATTTCGAAATGTAACGATCTGCTTTCGGATAAGTAAATTGCTTTTCTCGCTATTTGCCTTTCGATTTTCGTCCGCTGTGTATGTATGTTGGGTATGTGTATACGTCTTTCAAACTAAATCGATATTTGACAATTCCTAATAGACAACTCTCGTTTATGGTCTTCATAATTTTTTTTCCAAGAATATCCCACCATGCTCGCTCACACTGCACCGCCGCTGACTTCCTCTTTTGCTGGAGTTTTAGTTAATATTTCCCATGTACATTCAAATCGGAATTGTGTTTTATGCTTTTCCCTCCTCTTCCTCCACCTCCTCCTCCTTTTTCTTCTTCTTATTCTTTTTCTTCTTCTAACTCCAATCACTGTTTACATCGAATCCATATCTTATTCAATGATATTTTGATTGTTGTAAGCTTTCGCTCGGTTCACCGTCTGGCTCGTTTTCTTCTTGAGGTTTCGCATTCACCGTGATTTCAATGGGGTAGTCGGTGAATACAACACGGTACAGCGGTCAAATATACACTCCATTCTCTCTGCCGTTCGGCATACAAAGTCAACAAATCGGAGAACGATACACATGCACACCAGGGGAAAAAAATCGATTTAAGCTATGTTCCGCTCATCTTCTGTGCATGCAATAAAAGCGAAATAACCTCAAAGAGCACATTACACTAAAAAGAAAAGAAAAATCGACGAAAAACTCAATAGATATCCAATAACGCTAGCTATTCAACTGTAAAACTATTTTGTGTCGTGAGTGTGGACAAAACGAAAAATGAACCAAACTACATCGATTGGCTTAGAGATTTTGACTTGAAGCTAAGCCAAAATCAAATTTCATATTAAACATGTTGGTTATTTTTTTTCTCTCTCATTTTCAAATAAATGAAAAGTTATCGAATGTTGAAAAATAAAGGCTTTCATCATCAATTTGCTTGCAATAATTTTCGATTTATTTTGTTGGCTTCCAAATATGAACAATGGCTGCTTTCGTAAGCCAAGACGAAAGAAAAAAAAATGTTGTAATGAAGCTTAATCGCAACGGAAAATCAAACATTCATTATATTTTCCCATTTTTACTAAAGATGCTAGACTCTTTGAACTATCTGGCTCGATGAAAAAAAAAACAGAGACAAGAAAATCTCATCCCAATATTTGGGTCGGTGAACAAAAAAAACAGAGCAGTCGCGTTGAAGGGCCCATAACGATGAATAAAATATGTTTAAAAATGAATTTTTTTTTATTATTTTAGCTGGTTATCAACATGTACGGAAATAAGCCGGTACGTTGGCATTACTATTGCCTTCATTTTTGAGATATGCAACCATTTGGCGAATGCATGTCTATTCGCCTCGATGTGAACGTACAGGCGTGCACACAATTTCGTTAGTTGACGTTTTCGGTTTGGGTGTTTTCACATTGCCGGCTTTTTTGCACTCACTCTATCTCTCTCTATGTCTGTAATCATTATTCGTTCGGTAATTCTATTTGCATAAAACATAGCCCGTGAACCTTTCGCCTCTGGGTGAAAAAAAAAGAGCGACGCAGCCAGTCGATGGAAAAAAAGCAAATGTGTACGACGATGACGCCGACTAAGACGTGACTTGCAAACGATATTTTATTAAACGATTTTACATTTGACAACGCAATAAAATCGCTATTTTTTATTTTGTTCGATGCAAGTTGCAGGTAGTAGTTTTTGAGCACAAGAGAAAAAGAGAACTCATCATGGCCAGACTAAATAAACGTAATTGGAGAGAGAGAAAGAGAAAAACAAGAGGCAGCAATTCGCGTTGCGGAAAACTTCCTCATAAACAAAAATTCGTCTATCAACAAAGCGCATTTTAAACGTGATATGCGCATTGCATACACAACAGCCACTACTCTTTCGGGGTGTCTATTCAGTTTCGGTCGTCGGTGCGTTATCTCTGTTGCTCTTGATTTCTGAATGAACTTTTGCACTTTTTCGCAAAACGCAGCGCGCGCGCGCACACACACACACATAGCGTACAAATGTAAAATTACAGATAATCCCGGTGTTATTTATTGCTCGACAAAATGAATTTATAATGACTACATGTTTGCCACGTTGCACACTCGTCCGTTGTTGACGATGCTTCTTAGCTTGTTTATTGTAACGGTCATGGAAATGAATCGAAAAACTTAATCTATTCGTCGGAAAATGGCCAGGCCGATTTATGAGCGCTTGAGTGCCAGAAAGACAGAGAATGTGTAGAAGAAAAGTGGTTTAAGGTATTTGTGCAATGTGCTGTGTCAAAAGAGCGAAACTGATTGTCTTAGTTGCTAATGAAAGAAATGTCGAGCAAAATTATGAATGTGAAATTGATTACATTACAGTATTTTAACGGTAGTCGTCATCTTTGTCGGACTCTTTAGAATCCATTATTTATGGTGAATTTCATTAAAACACGGAAAGATAGTTCCCGAAGGAAAATGATGAGATGCTTTGCGTCGACGACAATGAACACCTTCACACTCACACACATACACACACACACACACACATTCTCGTTTCGTGTAAATGGATAGAGAAATTTGTGTTTATGAATTATTCAGAGCGCCATTCCAACAACACACAAGAA